TGGGGGAGGTCCTCTAGCCCTTGGTGGCTCAGGGTCAGCAGCTCCTGGACGATACACAGGCTCCGGGGAAACTGAGCTGCATTCACGCTGCTTGTAGGTTTGGCTGTTTGAAGAGTCTCCAGCCAGGCCCTTCTTCTTGCTCCTCCTACGGGCGTCCCAGGACCCAGCCTGTTCCCCTTTCTTACTTTGCTGTCTCCTCAGCCCCTTGCTTACCCTATGGTACCACCTTCACCTCCACGTGTGTCCTCCCAGTTGGGGCACCACATGCCCAGCTTTCCCTGGGCCACAAAGCCCAGTCTCCGCTGAGCATCACCCCTGCACCTGCACCTTGGGTCCTCTGGGGAGGGCCACCTCCAGCCTTAATGGAAGTCGAACTCCAGGCCTCCTCCTGCTAAGCCACGAGGAAGGGGGCAGCGTAGGCAGACGTGTGAGTGCAAGCCAGAGGTGTGCGCACACGCATGATGCCTCCTGCACTTCAGCCCGTGTATTTGGCCTCAGCTTTCTAGATACTGAAGGCTAACCCTCAAGAGAAGCTTCCAGAATCCAGTCATGCAGTGCCCAGCCCAGTCTGTACCATGTCTACAGTGCTACCAGGAATTGGGCAGTTACCATTGCCTGGCACTGACCCGGGGGCTTTATACACAATATTTTATTTAATATTTGCAACAACCCAAAGGGAAAGGTACCATAACTATTTCCATTGTATAGATAAGAAATTGAGCAGTTCTACCAGGCACGGGGCAGCAGCCGGCTAACTTGGGAATTGTGCTGGGTCTGTCCGAGTCCGCAGCCCATGGTCAAACCCCTCTGCTAGGGGCAGGCTGGACCCACACCCAGGGCAGGGAGCAGAGTGTCCACAGATGTTCCCACCATGTCTCCCCCTCACTCCAGGAAGTACCCCCAGACATACCACCTTACAGCCCAAGCCCCCTCTGCCCTCAGAGGCAGTCCCACCCACCGAGGCCCAGGGCCCGGGTACTGTACACAATGAACACACCACACCACAGCCAGCCGGGGAACTTTTTTTTAGCTTTTTATTATAGGGAACTTTTTTTTAGCTTTTTATTATAGAAAATTTCAGAAGCTGATACAATGAAACCTCTTGTACCATCACCCAGCTTCCAAACTTATCAACATTCCGCTAATCTTGTGTCCTCTGTTCTCCCCGACACAAATTTCTTTCCTGAAGTGTTTTAAAGCAAATCTCAGACATCATTTCATTTCACCGGTAAATACTTCAACGTGTAGCTCTTATAGATAAGGGCTTATTTTCCTTTAACTAAATTACAATGCCATGAAGACACCTAACAAAATTAGCTATGGTTGCTTAATATTATCTAATACTCGGTCTATGTACAAATTTCCCCAGTTTCCTTAAAAATGACTTTTTACAGTTGGTTTGTTCAAATCAGGATGCAAAGAAGGCCTGTCCATTGCATTTGACTGATGGGTCAGGCCCTGAAGAGAAAAATCCACAACCACCTTTGGTGGCCTACAAGGACATGCCACATGATTCGGCTCCTGACTCCTCCTCAAACTGTACCTCCCTCCTATCTGCCCCCACCTGCTCCAGTCCCTTCAAATTCGGCTCCATTTTTCCAGGCATGGAGAGGCTATCTTGGGTGTCAAGAGTACTCAGGTAAAGGATGACCAGACACACTCTCTTATGTCTGGGTAGAGGTACTCACCCAAGGCTTCACACAGGAGGGAGTCCTGCTCTGAGCCTCCACAGGATGCCCGGGAGGCAGGCAGGACCAGTGTTATGGTTCCTCCATTCTGAGAGAGAAGGAAGTTGAGACTCAGCTATTTGCCCGGGTCCCAGGGCTACTAGGGGACAGAACTGCGACTGGAGCCCACAGGTTGTGACTGTCCCCCGCCCTGCTGGGCAGGCAGGCTGAGTAAGCAAGGAGGGAGGAGGGGGCGGTGCCCACCTGGGCAAAGGCCAGGTGGATGGAAAAAGCAGAGGCCAGGGAAGGTGACACGTGAGGCCAGAACTGTGCTCCAACCCAGAACCATCCCCCGGAGTAGGAGAGACTCCCGGTCAGCTCGGTGCTGCCAGCTGGCGTATCCCAGCATTTGTGCCGGGGTCCAGAGCCTAAAGGAGAGGGCGGGGGGGCTGCCTGGGCCTGGCTCCCACCAGCAGCCCCCGGAAGCCTCATGCGCAGAAACTCAGGCCCCCGGCTCCACGGCTCAGCTATTTTAACGCAGACAAAAGGCCTCACTCGGCCCTTTATGCTTCCCATCCAGAAGAGCTTTTTGTCTTCTTACCAGGGCTGTCTATTTTTACTATTTTGATCTATACTATTTTATTAAATAATCCTTCACATTTTTTTCTGGTTTTATTTATTTTATTTCTTTTTTCCTCTTTTGCTTTTAAATGCAAATAGGGAGGTAGCGAGGTAGCAACATCATGGAGGTGAGGCCAAGAGGGAGGCCAAGGAGCCCCAGAGCCCCAGAGCCGCAGCCCCTGGTCCCCCAGGAAAGACCAACCTTCCCATAAATGGCCTGTTTCAGCAGACAGGGCAAATGACTCCCAGGAGAAGATAAGGCAGCCCTGCACTGGCCAGAGGACACCCGGGAACAGGGCCTCTTAACTTACTCTGGGAGGGTAAGTGACATCTTGATGAATCCGTTGTGACATGAAGACGCTGGATGTGGCTCTAACCCAGCCTTAAACCCTGGGCTTTCTCTCATTGCCAAGTTACCTGCAAAGCGCTGTTCACCCTGTTTATTCCCAAACTTCACCCCAGGGGTGAGGTCAGAGGCAAGAGTCTCTAGCAGCCCACATTTCTGTGTAATAAGTAACAGATTTACTTCATTTTGGTGTAGGTGAATCAAAAGGTCTCTTCTGTCAAACCTTCCATGCTCATGTTTGGAGATTTTTTTCTGTAGGCATATGGGCACCCTTTAAAAACATAGTGCTGCCTGTGTTTTGAAATATACAGAAATGGTTTCAGGCCATCAATTCCATTCTGTCTCTTCCAGTTCTTGCCTCTGGGTTACTTTCCAGATCTTCCCACCATCGCTGAATTTAGAAGCACGCTGCTGTTTCTGACTTCTGCCTGTATCCCGTCATACGTGAACGCCGCATTTAATTTACCCATCCTCCAGGGAAGGACACCAGGCTGGCTCAGATGCTGGCCGTCGTGACAAACGCCTCTTTGCCATGTGTCCCGAGGACCTACAAGGAACTCTGAAGTCGGGCGCTCAGCAGTGAGGGACGGAGATGCAATGACGGTGCACAGACCCCAAGTACTAAGGTGGCCAGGTTTCTCTGCAGCTCTGCTCCCACTTCCCACCGCAGGGACGGAGGGGCTTTCTCTTCCCCACCTCCTCATTAGCATTTGGTACGATTCCAATTTTCTAATGTTTGTCAGTCTGCGGGGGCGTGGGGAAAAGGGTACCTTCTTATTTTAATTTGTTAAAGAGATTAAGTAACTCTTTACAGAGTTATTAGCTCTTCAAATGGCCACTTCTATGAGTGGCCTATTTAAATCCTCTTCCCTTTTTTCTTTTAGATCCTTGTGTTTTTCTTATGAATTTGCAGTTGTTGGCACATGCTGGATATTAAAGCTTAGTCAGTTTTAGACTTTTAAAAATATTCTGTTCCCAGTCTGTTACCCCTCCATGAACTTTGTTTATATTCCGTTTTTTTGTTTTTAACAAAAATCTCTGATGTTAATGTGATCCTGTCTATTTATTTTGTGTCTTATGGTTTGTGTGTGGCTGTTTTGTTTAATCTTTTCAAAGAAATACTCACTTTGAGGTTCACAGTTATTTTTTAATCCATTTTCTTCTATTTGTATTTGTAATTTTACTCTTCACATTTAGGTCTTTCTCCACTTGGAATTTTTTTTTTTAAATATAGTGTTGAGCAGGAATCCAATTTCATTTATGTCCAAAACAGTAATCTTTTTTTCCCAACGCTTCTTCCGAAATCATTCATTCTTTCGCTGAGTTGTGATGCCACCCCTACCATAGGGAGTTCTCCTGTAGTTTCATTTATTTGTGCATGTCTGGGTCTGTTTCTGGTCCCTTATACTCTGTTCCTTTGGCCTAGTTGTCTATGGCTGTGCCAATAACACTCTCCATTTATTGTAATCAGTCCGATTATCAGCAGAACAAATGTTACCTCTTTGTTGCTTCTTTCTTAATTGGATTAGCTATTTGTGGATCTCAAATCCTCTATATAAATTTTATAATCAATTTGTTTAACTCTCCAACATTCCGGCTGGTATTTAATTGATTATAGATACTAATTTGGGGCTAATAAGCATCTTTCCACGATTGTCATTAATATCGTATTTCTTTTTATTTAGATCTTTCATGTTCTGGCTTTAGTGAAATTTAAATTTTTTTTTTTCTTCATGGTCTTAAGTCCTCGTTTGTTAGTCCCTAAGGCTTCTGTGGTTTTTGCTGCTGTTATCAGAGACAGGTATGCTGTCTTCTCCAGGATCCTGGGAGGGACCTAGAAATGTGCCTGTGATCCTGTAAAACTGCAAAAGTAGACTATTTTAACCACAATTGTTAAAAACTGCTGTCTCTTTGCAGCCCAGCTTCCCTCTACTATATCTTCCACTGTTGGACAGTGTTGGGGTGATCCCAGGTACTTCAGGGCCCAGCTAAGGGAAGTATAAACTGGGGATACATCTAACTCGGGGTAGATGGGATGTATTTATGTGGTCACACTAACTCCCATATATAGTTAAGACACTGGTAGGCATCCTAGTGTCAGAATGGCTTCCAGGAATTCATGGCATTCCTTTCACCCACTGTCCTGACTCACCGGACATCTGGACATGAAGGTGCAGAGCTAGAGTCAAGTCAGGCAGTCAGTTAATAAAGATAAATATATGGCATGTGGCTTTTCTGTTCATTCATCGTACTGTTTAGTGTTTAAAAGTGTAATTAGTTGTGATTTCTCTTTCTAAATAAATGCTTATTTTATACCTAATTTTGAATCTGTAGTTTTGTTTTCTTTTTCTTAAAGAGGGCTCCCCACACTTACCCGGCCGGGAGATGCCGTGATCACGGATCTCCCAGGGCGAGGCTCACGCATTGCACTCTGGATATACTGACCCCTGCAATTACACCAAATGTGGGAAACTCAACTGCATAATTTGTGCTAGTGGGGGACTGCATTTCACACGTTCCCCCCAAAAAAAAGAAAAAGAAAAAAGAAGAGGGATTCCCAAATTGCATAAACTCCTGTACCTCAAAACCTGGATTTTGGCATTGGCAGTGGCATTAATACTGGCAGTGGCATTAATGCTTTCTATGTCAATGTCTAAGTTGATCTGGGATCCAGTAACCTTGCTAAACTATTAGTCCTAAACGTTTGTTGACTCCTTTGAGTTTTCTCAATTAAAGTATCATGTCATTTGCAAATAGTGGCTATTTTATCTCTTTCTTACTAATACTGATATATTTTTTTATCTCTCTTCCCTATATTAATGCATTGGTCAGGAACTTCAATATGCTGTTGAGCAGCATGACAGCAATAGTAGTTATTAATAGGAATACCAAACAGTTGCTTCTTTAAGTGTGTTTGCCAAAAGATTCGGTTGGCTGGTCTTTATCTTATTAGGAAAGTTTCTATTTTCCTAAGAGTTTTTTAAAGAACCACTTATTGATGAACTTTATCAGATGGCTTTTGAGTCCATTTGAATGACTTGTCATTTTTCTTCTTTATTCCTTTAAATCAGGGGTCAACAGACTTTAACCAACTTGAGCTATTGCCTGTCTTCTTACAAATAAACTTTAATTGGAACACAACTACATCCATTCATGTATATATTATCTCTGGCAACTTTCATATTACAATGGCACAATGGCAACATTGCATACTTCGGACAGACACTGTCTAGCCCATAAAGCCTAAAACATTTATTATCTCATCCTTTACGAATTTGCCAACCTCTGCTTTAAATGATGAATTGTATCAATAGACTTTCTAATAATGGACCATTTTCACATTGCTGGGATGAATTCTTCCCATTCAGAGGGCTTTTTGTTTTCATTGCAATATAACCTACATTCAATAAAGTTCAATGATCTTAAATATACAGCTTGATGAATTCTTACGTATGTACACACTCATTTAAGTACCACTTGGACCAGATAATATTTCCAGCACTACAGAAGGCTCTCTCATTCCCCCAACCAGTCTCTACTGCCAACCCTCCACTCCCAAGCTGACCCTTCTGAACTCTCTCACTGGAGATTTGTTTTGCCCATCTTGAAATTCTTAGAAACGGGATCCTATCATATACAGTCTTATGTGCCTGTCTTTTCACTCAACAGTGTGGATTGTTGTATATAGCAACCGTTAGCTTTTTCATTTAATATTCCATTATTTGACTAAGTATGCATTGTTTTTGGATACAGTATAGTATTAGATTCAGTTGGTATTTTTTCTTATGAGATAAAATCTGATCTTTATCTATTAATGCCACCTTATGGTCCATTTAAGTTAATTTTCTTTGATGGAAAGCATTAGTAATACTGTGGAAGCAAACAAAGAAACTACCATAATTTGTTTAGTTGTAGCGCACTGGGTAATTCACCAAATTAAAGGATGAGATCAAGCCAGAAAGGTACCAGATTAGCTTTAGAGAGCCAAGCAGTAGACACTCATGAGTACCATCTTTGGGAAACTGTCATCTGGTGCTGAATTCCAACTATATTCTCTCCCATTGTTTTTGTTTCATGTTTGTTTGTTTGAAGTTTTAAATTCCTTTTTTTTTTTTTCCTTTTTTTCTTTTGACCCTCTTCACCTATTTCTCCCAACACCCACCCCAGGGCAACCACCAATCCATTCTCTGTATCCATGAGCTTGTTTCATTGTTTTTGTTGGCTGTTGCTTTAGATGCCACATACAAGAGAATTCATGTTATTTGTTTTTCTCTGTAATTTATTTCACTTTGCAGAATACCCTCAAGGTCTGTTCTTCTAGCAAATGGCAAGATTTCATTCCTTTTTATGGCTGAGTAATATTCCATTGTATATAGGTACCACATCTTCTATCTCCATTCATCTGCTGATGGACATTTAGGTTGCTTCCATATCTTGGCTGTCATAAATAATGCTGCAATGAACATGGTTGAGTACATATATCTTTTTGAGTTAGTGTTTCATTTTCTTCAGATAAATACCCAGGAGTGGAATTGCTGGGTCATATGGTGGTTCTCTTTTTAATTTGTTAATTAACCTTCATACTGTTTTCCACAGTGGCTGCACCAATTTACATTCCCACCAACAGTGCACAGGGGTTCCTTTTTCTCCATCCTTCCCAACACTTGTTATTTCTGCTATTTCTTGTTATTTCTCTTTGTGGTTTTGACTTTCATTTCCCTGATTAATGATGTTAAGCATCTTTTCATGTTCCTGTTGGTAATCTATATGTCTTCTTTGGAAAAATGTCTATTCAGATCTTTTGCCCATTTTTCAACTGGATTTTTTTTTTTTTTTTTTTGCTATTGAGTTGCACGAGTTCTTTGTATTTTTTTATATTAACCCCTTGTCAACTATGTAATTTACAAATATTTTATCCCACTCAGTAAGTTGCTTTTCCATTTTGTAGGCTCTCCTTGCTGTGCAAAAGCTTTTTGGTTTGATGTTGTCCCACTTGTTTATTTTTGCTTTCGTTGCTTTTGCTTTTGGTGTTAGATTCAAATTATTGTCAAGACCTATGTCAAGGAGCTTACCACCTGTTTTCTTCTAGGAGTTTTATGGTTTCAAGTCTTAAAGTCCTTAATCCATTTTGAGGTAAGTTCTGTGTGTGATGTGAGATAGTGGTCCAGCTTCATTCTTCTGCATGCAGCTGTCCGGTTTTCCCAACACCATTTATCAAAGAGCCTGTCCTTTCCCCGTTGTATATTCTTGACTTCTTTGTCATAAATTAATTAACTATATATGTACAGGTTTATTTCTGGGCTTTCTATTCTGTTTCATACATCTATGCATCTGTTTTTAATGCCAATACCATACTGCTTTAATTACTGTATCTTTGTAACGTAGATTGCAATCTGGGAGCATGATGCATCCAGCTTTGTTCTTCTTTCTCAGGATTGCTTTTGCTATTTGGGGTCTTTTGTGGCTCCACACAAATGGAATATATGGTTGATATTTCATTAAAGCTTTTTTGTACCTACATTCTTAATAAAAAAGACCTAAATTCCCTTTTCTGATAATGTTATTTTCTCCTTTGGTGTCAAGTTTATACCAAGTTATATAAAATTCATGAAATGATCTGAACAGCATTTCTCTTTTCTATTCTTGGGACAATTTGCATTAGATATCAAATAGCTATTCCTTAAAATTTTGGTTTACCTATAAATACCTATAAAATAACTTGAGACTAGGGGTGACAGGGAGATTTTTATAATTACTATTTAATTTTGTTTGTTGTTTTACTATTAGTGTCTCCAAGTCTTCTATTTTATCCTGTGTCAATTTCAGCATTATATGTTTTCCAGGAATTTGTGCATTTCAATTGGTTTTCATGTGTAGAGTTGTACATATGTATATATTGTTCTAATATTATTTTTATATTTTAAAATTTTAGTTCTACCTCTGTGTAATTTGGTTATTTTAAGAACTCTTGTTTTCTTGATATTTATTCATCTTTTTAAAAATGTTTATTCTGAGTCTTTTCAAAATGTTGGTTTTTACTAGTCATGTATATTGTTTTTGCTGTTCTTGGTATTATTCTTTATTTTGCTAATTTCTGCTCTAATCTTTATTATTTGTTCCTGTTTATTTGTGCCTTCTCTACCATTTTTTCTCTAGATTTGAAGACATAGCTCATTTGTTTTCTGATAGATGTATTTAAAGCTATCAACTGTCCTCTTGCTACTGTTTTTTAGCCATAGAACATAAATTCTGGCATACAGAGCCGTCCACGGCATTCAGTTCTAAGTAATTCATACCTTCCCTTAAGATTTTCTCCTTAGTCTGAGGTTTATTTGGTAACATGTTTTTATTTTTCTAACGTGGGTTATTTTGGCTATTCTTTTGGTCTCTTCCCAACTCTTATCTCTCCTGGTGGCTATCATGTTGCTATTATCTGGATGTTAGCTCCAGATTGTGATATATATTCATCATTTATTCAATCAATGATAAAATTTAGTACATTCTTTTTCAATCTTGTTTTTCTTATCTTATATCTGCCTCTTAGATTCACATTTTTTATTGCTGGAATACATTCTGCACACATCTCTATGCCTGCAGATATCTTTATTTTTCCCTCACATTTAAATAAATATTTAGCTATATGTAAAGTTCAACACTGGAGTACATATCACTTGATTATCATCCCATTGTCAGTGATTCTCCTTATTTGTAAGTAATCTGCTGTTCTCTATGGAAGCCTTCTCTCTGGGATGCTTTTAAATGTCTCCCTAATGTGTCTGTGCTTGAGATTTTTTTTCTTCTCTGTCTTGTTCAGTACTCTCTTAACCCTTTCTGTCTGACGGTTTACATGTTCTTTCAATTCTGGGAAAAGTCAAGTCACTGCTTTTTTCAGTATTCTGCCTTCTATGCACTCTATTATCTTCTCCAGTGACTCATGATAGACCCCTATTCATGCTCCCATGTTTTAATTTTCTCATAGTCTTTCTCCCTATCCCTGGGAGAGATCCTTGACCCTTATGTACCCTCTTATGCTCCACAAAGTTGGATTTGGTTGAAACAAATGTTCCCAGAGCCGAGCCTCCATCCCAGTGGTCTGTCTGCTGCCACAGCTGAGGAAGTCAGAAAGGTGGGGAAGTCCATTTCCAGGATCCCAGTTCCTGGGACCGTTCATTCATTCCTCATCTAAGAACACTTATTCCTTCCCTGTCCTGGGCCCTGCTAGCACGTGGTCCCTGATCACCTCTCCAACACACTCACCACTCTCCTTCTTGCTTATTATGCTCCAGCCGGCAGGACTTCTTCGGGGACCTTGAAGATGCCAAGCACACTCCCCTCGCAGAGTTCTTCCATCTGCTGTTCCTTGCATCTGAAATGCCCTTTCCTCCCCCACCTTTCCAGACCTTGCCGACATTGGCATTACTGGATTTTTCTCACCTTTCAAGCCTCAGTTCAAAAGCTGTCCTCTCGGAGAGACAACCCCTGGCCACTCTATCTGAAGTAGTCCATCCTCTGGTCACTATGTTT